GCGGCGACGACTTTACTGCGAGCTTCATGTGTGTCCTCCGCTGCAGTGAGGAGAGTGTGAAGGTAAGTTAAAGGGGTGGGTAGCTCGTGTTCTGGTTCTACTAAACTGTCCATGATGATTGTAGAGTGAGTTGAGGACACGTGTATTTGTAGACAGGTACTGCAACTTCCTGTATGTCTACTGGTGGTGGAAATATCGGCCAGCTCACAACGCCTTTATAAGAACTTACGATTTCACAGAGCCAAATTCCAGCGATGAATGGAATGTACGAAGCGTTGACAATAGTCGCGACCCGGAGTAGCGAGAATCATCGCACTACTTCACTGCTTTGTGGTGAAGAGCCCATGTGCTAATTGCTAGAAAGAAAGTGACATGTTTGACGAATTGCTACGGTAATGATCCAGTCGAATCGAAGGTCATTCACACGCAACAGGTCAAGAATGGATTGTATGAAGATCATTTTCATTAGTGTCTAGGTTGCTGTGTAAGGAACAGGCGTAAGAAGAAACATATCGCTAAGTATTACAAGATTTTCTGATTACAACCAAAAGCTATCTAGCTAGAGTGGCTGCAAGTAGGGTTGGTGGGAGCGGACTTTCCACCAAAGTACACTTTGTTGTAGACGTTGTCGCCAGTCCAAGCATCGGACGGGACCTTCGGGGGGTTGACGGGGCCACCTTCCTGCTGAGAGTGAGGGAACAGGAAGTTGGGCGAGACGACGTTGTCGGGGCATCCGAGCGCGGTCTTGCTGAGAATAGGGTCGAGGACGGAAAGAGCCCACGAGACACCCTTGGCGACGTTCTCCTCAGTACCGCCGAGCGCAAGCGGAGTGATGGAGTTGAGGCCCTGGTAGACGTCGCAGAGCACGGTCTGGACAGTCAACTTGCCAGTACCGACCTGAGCGACGCCAGGAACGATGATGTTGCGGGGATAAATCTGGAGGAAGCCGTCGGAGAGGGCCTGGACCGCGCCGTACTGGGTGTCACGGCGGTACCAGTTCTCGGGCCAGCGCTCGGGAACGTACTTGAACTCCTGCGTCTTCTCATCATACTCGGCACCGATGATGCTCATGATGCTCTTGTAGTTGGGCACACCACCCGCACCGTAGGTACCGTTGGAGAAGAACTGGGGGTAGAAGGAGAAGGCGGCGACCGAGACGATCTGGGGGAAGGGGAAGTAGTAGAGGAAGGGGTTGTTGTCCTTGGAGAAGCCGGCCGACTTAGCGTAGTGCTTCGCCATGACATCCATGGAGAACTCCTTCTTGGGGTCTTGGGCAGCATATCCGACCATCTGCTTCACTAGACGAGAAGAGAGATGGTGGTTGTCACCGCATCCCATGTAGTAATCTGTCTCAATGTTAGTGTTCAGGTTCCGCTTTGGAGAGTCAGAAAACATACCTTCGCGGTTGGGCGAAACATCAGCTTCGACAACAGAGTGCCTGTTGAGGCCACCGATTCCGTTCTTTCCCGAGCCGAGATAGAAGGACAAGCCATCCAGATCTCCACTGCCCAAGACAGCGAATGTGGCTAAAACTGTGGCAAGCTCTACACCCATGTTGAAACCACGCCCAGTGGCCTCCAAAACCTGTCCATAGGTGACGTAGCCGTCGCGGGGGAGATAGCCATGATTGGCAAGCAAGTTCAGACCTGGGCAGGGACCACGAGAGTCGTTGGGACCAGGTGCCTTGAACTCGTAGCCAGGCTCAGGACGCAGGTTGCTCTTCTTGACGATGGCCTGTCCGACTGAGGACAGGAGCCCATCAACAACGCCGCCGAGCGAGCCCAAGAGGTTTCCGACTGGGTTGAGCAGCTGGGGTTCAGCGGCGCGGTTCGCGAGTTGTTCACGCTTGATCTCCCCACGAAGGTACTCCTCCATCTCTGGGCGGGAGTTCGCGCCCATCATGCCGGGGTAGGCGGCAGCGAGGGCTGGCAATGCCAGAGTAACTGATTGAGTGAACCTCATGATGTCGGTGACACAAGATTGTCTGTATGAGGAGGAAAGGGGAGAAGGAGCAAGTGATGGCTCTGGCTGAAGAACTGATATAGAACACACGGTGAAGAGATTTTATACACTTCTTCTCCGCGCAGCTGCTTCTGAGCCTCTCCACCGCTCCGGTAAAGCCTACATGGATGGCATCTGTTGGCACCGTCCACGTTGAGTATGATCTTCATCAACAGTCGCCGAAGAAGTGTGTCGCGCTTCCACTTTCGTACGGTTGTCATCATGATCGTCAGCTAGAACTGGGGAAGACTTAGCCAAAACGCCACGCCGCTACAGATCCACACAAGGATAAGGTAGAGCGCAGCAACCCAATCAGATGTTTTCGGATTACCCATTAATCACCTGAGTCGTGGTGCTCCGCGGCCAAGCGTCTCAAAGCGAGTCAGGATCATGGGGTTTTGGTATTCAGCACAGCTCGAGTGACCCACTTGTATCCACACGGTGCGCCAGTCATTCACTTTGATCGAAGGTCGATTCTCCAGATTCAAGGTAGTGATCGCGATGATAAAGGAGGCGTCATCATTTGCTCTCAGCAGCTAACACTCACTGGGTTCGATCAAGCCACAATTGTGAGCGCGGTCTCCTGTCATCGAAGAAGCGTGGATGGGTGGAGCTGTCGACACATGTCAGTCGCAATTTCTGAACCATTGCAATTAATCTGAGAACGAATGTGATAGAGTTCTCGAAGCAGACTCCTGTGGCCTACGCATCTCCCGTACATGGAGCAGGGGTTAGGTGACGGTAATAGATACATCATATCTTGGTGCACTATGCAGTAGCTTGCAGAATCGGCAGGCAGGATAGCGCCGGCTCTCTAATTCGACGGAGAATTTATACTCACCCTCGCCGAACGCTGATAGTGCACAGGGGCTCCTGGGATGCCTATGCGGCCCCATCGGGATCAAAACAGGCTGCCAATTAGCCTAATGCTTTCTGTACAGGGCGTTCGCTGTGAACTTGCAGAGTCCACAGTGTGCTGGCGATATGGCCGACGTCAGGATGCTGCAGGATATATTGGCACACTCGCCAATGTGCCATGATGTGCCGTGATGGCAACCAGGATCGGATCGGAAATCCGCAGGTTGCTAGTGCTCGATACATGGAGATACGGTTCGGTTAGATTCACACCTGGGCAGCGTCGATCCGGCTGATTGAGATCGGCGGCTCTGCGTTTCGTGTTGCGATCGAATTTTGGCCAGGAAATGATGCGAAAGTTGAAATCCCGCCTTCTCGCTCGATGGCGTTAGGTGGTCTGGCGTTTCGCTTGCCTGGTAGCAGAAGGGGAAAGGTCCTCACCGGCGACGTCACTGCGCTATCGCGGAGCCCCGTACCGACGGCGATCATCGACGCTAGCGCCAACCTTAACCCCAAAACGCGACAACGTGGCGCTTTCGCTCGTGATGGCGCAGTGACATGGGACGAAGCCACTGCGCAAAAGAAATGTTGAGCTCGATACATGCCTGCCAGCACCAATCGCAATCTTCTCACCTCCCGAGGTACCAATCACGGCCCTCACGTTGGTCATGACAAGAACAAGAGCCTAGGCGGCAGGTTGAGCTAAGGGAGCTGACTCTGATGCACGCATTACAGACCGCTTGCGCGTAGACATTTTGGCAAATATTAAGCGCGTCACGTTTTCGCGCTGTACGATTGGATGCCCCTGGCAATCTAACATCAGGAGCTTTTTACGGGGAGTTTCAGACTCCCTTGAACTCCCCAAGTTCAGCGACGGTCGCAGCTTGCGGAAAATTTTACTTTTTGGTGGGAGCCGGTACGAAATACCTCCACCGTTCCGCTCGGAATGCATCTATGCTTTTGTCTGCCCCTGCGTGGGTGATGTTACCTAGGTATCTTTCTGACTTCGCAGACCCTCCGGACCTCATCACCTCCAAACAACACCCATCGATGAGTCTGGAGAAAACTACAGGACCAGCGCAGAAATTTCGGAAGGTAATGAAGAAGATTTATCAGTCTCAACCTCACCAAGCGTCACCCCATCCGCAGTCGTGGCCACTCAGCCCAAGCGCGGCTGTCGATATGGACTCGATTCTGGGATTTGCGACCCTATTCATCTCACACAGCCTGCTGGTCTCTTCAAGGTAATTTGTTGACAAAGTTGTGAGCGGCTTTCGTCGATGGCGTGCCAAGTAACAATAGATGCAGCGGACGACTGACCTAAGCATGGCTTCCGGCGACATCACGCAAAACACCAGAAGCTGTGCGAAGTTAGTCTGGGTCATTAATCTCTCGCCTGTTTGTTTTCTTCTAGCATCCTCCCAGGCGTCGACGTCCACTCAACTATCCTTGCGATCCAATCTTTTGGTTGCCATCTACTTCATCCTATAGTACTGCGATGACGAAGAGCGAGACGAGCTACTTACAACTTCTACGACATTAACTACCTCGACAAAAAGATACTCTTACAAACAAGGAGAATTGCAGGTACAATATACTGTTGCGCCGCCGGTTCATAACGCGCGGTTCTGTTGACAATCAGCAGTCCTCGAGGAACCTACGCTCATTCGTCAAAGCATCAAGCTATCCAGGTCATTGGGGTTGCAGAAAACATGAAAGGCTCCTTCTGCTATGCAACAACCGCTGCGCCAATGTTTGCTGCGAAGCAGATTAGTTTTTTGTCGATTCAGATGTACTTGATCTCATCAACTTCGTGGCTCAGTACAACAAACACAACAACGGTACTTGAAACCCCATAGCATTGTGAGCGTACCTATCTCTCAGACATTGTCCTTGACGATTCGATCTACAATGTCATTTCAATGACTACATATGCTCCATACCTCATGAGACCATGTCATTCACTTCGACGCAAGCAACACCAAAAGACAAATCCACGACCATGGCGACGAGCACGCCTCCATCCCCTTTACCTATCCTGGTCAATATCCTACAATCTCACACAAGGACCCCAGAAGAAGGTTACAGAGTCCTGCAGGCCTACCAAATAATTGTTGACTACGCCTTACAATGCCGCACTGACGATGCCTTTGTAACTCTCCTCGACGCCACTGGCATACCTCAGGAATGGCACGACCTCCGTAGCTGGCTCCATACGCAGCACCCAGACACCAACACTCTCGAAAGATTCCCCTCCCACTACGACGTCGCCACCGAGCTCATCCGCAACCTACCGGAATGTAACCGTCTAACGCTAGTGACAACCTCTAAGAGCTACTGTTATCACGTTGGCGAGCAGACAGGTTTTACGCTGAGAACTCTCATTCGACACGGAGGCTTCAAAGAGCTATTGAAATACATCATAAAACTGCAGCCACGATGCGCAGTGCAGACCAAGGAAAAAGAAAAAGAAATAGAGATAGCCATACACCGGGATTGCGAGACACATTTTATCGAAGCGATACGCAAACAGATTGACACTGTAAATCCGGACAAGATCAAGAATTCGCTAGCTGTGCTCTCGGAACTATCAGTGCGTGCGGCTGCTTTCCTCCAAAAGAGTGACTTCACGGTTACGCAGGAAACTGCCCACGAATTTTCCATGGATTCAATCATGTACACCCGTTCTATCGTATCAGAGCCTTTCAGCATGGTTCCACTGGCTGAGAGGCGCGATTTGGCGCGCCTTGATGTAATGGTGTTGGCACGCGCACTGTTGCACCAAGCATTTGCCATCGCGAAGACAACTCCTGTACGGCAGGAATTAGCCTGGCGTTTACATCACTGGATGGCGCATCGCGTGAAGGATGCTTTCAGGCTTGAGGTCCATGGCCACTTCCGATATTTCGAGATTGGAAATGCAGTGACCGAAGTCATGCGCAGTCCGTTCCGATGGCAAGGTTTTTTCGCTGATAATCCGACGCCGCTTGCTAATTTCCTTCCGCACGGTTGGGAAGACCAGGATGGGGACCGTTTCTCCTATGGCGAACTGACTATCCCGCCACTCGAGGAGGAGGAGTATGCGTCTTGGTTCATGGAGGACGTGGACAGGGAGCCGGATAGTCCGCGACGAAGTGCGCGTATCTGCTCTTCACCAGTACGCACAGCAGATGAGATTGGGCCAGACGCTACTTGCACGATATGTGGCGACGCGCTTGCTGTAGTCGAAGGGCTGTGTCTGCAAATGCCTATGCGTGTGCATTGCAGCGGGGGACACATTTATCACTATGAATGCTTGACGATGTTGATCAACGGCATTGATGCGTATGCGAATAAGTGCCCTGTTTGCCGTCAAGAGATTTGTTCACTGCGGCGTAGCAAGGCTATCATTGACGACGACGACGAGGAGATGGACGAAGAGCTGGACGAGGAGATGGACGAAGAGGTGGAGGAAGAGATGTACGAGGTGGACGAAGAATTGAACGAGTGTGTGGACGGACGGGTGAACGAGTGGGTGAACGAGCGGGTGGACGAGGAAATGAACGAGGAGATGGACGAGGACGTAAATCAGGGAATAGACTAGTTGTGAGAATAAGAGCATAAGACCACTTGTCGCTATGTTACAATACATGCAATCCTATTCCTCTCCATATCACCAAGTAGCAACTCATTCGCGATACTCTCTCATAAATAACCCACATCCTTCTTCAACTGCATCCCATCCTTGAAGTTCCCCCAAAATGTCTTGTCGTTCTTCCTCCGCACGATCGCAGCTATGACGCCTATGAGAAGCCATAGGCACAGTATCGTCGTGCTGAGAGAGATGACAGTATACAAGATCGCCTTTTCTAGAACCGTGAAATCCTTGTCGTTTTTGTCGCCTTCGCGGGGATGAAGGACTGAGAATGGGGATTTGTATGGAGCGGAAAGGGTAGCGGGGACGGGGCTGGCTTGTATCGCGAGGCATAGCGCAAAGAAGAGCTGAAGACTATTAGCAAGTATGGCTTCACTACAGGGTTCTTTGGCTACTTACGATCGCGAAGAGTGAGCTCGCAAAAGCCATCTTGTCTGCCAATAATGCGGTAGAGGTTCTTGGAGATGCGATACTTCTCTCTTTCGTAGTATTTCCTCGCGTATGAGTCGTATCACTAATGCGGTACGGGGTGTTTAGTTCAGTAAGATCGAGTATTGCTAATCCCGAGCGAAGAAATACTAAGACCTTTTTTAATGGGAAACGTATAATATGCGAGGTAGAAAGGACGAGCTCATCGTGCCGACTTTATGTAGCGCAGCACTGTTTGTGTGTGAAGGTTCAATGACACGACACATGCCAGCGTTACTTTACCTGGAGTTGTGAAGAGTTTCATAAAAGTGACTAGAAAACGTATCGTGAAGCCTTCTCAAGGTCAAGGTGCGATATAATGAACATGCATAGCGACATTTACACGCAGCTCGAGAAATCTATGTCTCCAGCTTCAACACTGGATGCTCCGGGTCGAGCTCACTTCCGAGAGCCGGCAGGGCAGTCGCACACACCAAGATTCTCTCAATGAGATCGCCGTAATCCATGGAACCGGCTATGCGTCCACTACGTCAGTTTGTCGATCCGCAGAAAATAAGAGTTGAGCGCGTGAAGCAAAAAATCTTCCAACTCGCCCACCACACTCCAACAGCCCACAACTCTTACGTCAAGTCCAAGGCAACGTGGCAAGGAGGAAGATTCATCTACTCGATACCGGAGTAGGGCCGTCCGTTCTCACTTCGCCCGGTGAAATGTGTCATGAAAGAGGTCGCTGATGAGTCCGGGTGACCGCGATCGATGTCTTCCAGTCACGCATCTCTGCGGCCTTGCGGCACAGTAGAGCTCGCCCTCCCGCCCAGCGTTGTGTGGAAGGAACCGTCGGTCCCACTGCGGCACACGCTCAATGAGACACAAAGAGCGGCAGCGGCGGCCAGTTCGCATGAGGCACGGCGTGAGAAGGTTCGGAACGCAGCGTCTGACTGTCGCGGACGTTCCCGTAGAGGCACAGTTACGCCCGTGTGCCTGTGCCTGACATGCGATGACGGGATAGGACCTGAGGGCTGAGGCCAGATAGCTACGCCGCAGCTACAATCTGTCAGATCAGAAGTCTTGACGCACTTTGCCGCACCTATGTGACTGCGCCGCAGAGTCTCGAGCCGTAGTATGCGCGGGGTCGGTGATGGGTCTCGCAGGTCTTCTTCTAACCGACGGCCATACTAGATGGTAGTACGGTGTTGGTTCTGAAACGTCTTTGCATCGCCTCGTTGCTGCATAAGTGTATTGCTTGCGATGCATTAGCGGGCTTGTCGTTCAATACTCACACCATGTGATGGCCCTTACTGCGACCTTTGATAGCAATTACGCAGTGAGGTATGTTGTCTCACTCTGTAACACGGGTTCGCAACGCCTTCCAGAGACATAAGCGACTTCATCTCGGGCGATGTAATGTCTGGAAGGCCTAGTTCTCTGTATAGCCGTATATGCAGCCGATGAACCGAATGATCAGTCAATACTATCATGTCTTGCCCCGCGGTATCCGCTCTTACAAGGTCGTATTGGGATTACGTTGACCTGCGCATTTCAACGACCACATCTGCGACCGCTGTTAGTGCATTTGAGAGTTTCAGTATGTCTTGTTGGCCGGCACTTCGGCCGGAGGTACTTCTAAGCGCCGGCTCATAACCATGGGATTGGTTCTCGAGCATGTCGTCGTGTTGGTTCCAGTACTAACAAGTAGCCAGAGTGGCTGTCACAGCAGGCGATTTATCAAAACTCGCTTGCAAGTAGCTGATTCTTTATCGAAAAGAGGTAAGCTGCAGTAGTAGGGCGGCAATGTAGCAAGTGATGGCAGTAGAGATTGCTTCGAGCAGCTCGCGAATCCAAAAAGGGTTAGTGAGTTGAGCCTGTGAGGAACGAAATGTGTAAATTGACAAGCACACAAAGCATCGCCACAGCCAATCCTTCTGTTTCGAACCTTCTCATAGGGCTGAGTCATGTGGTTTGCCTGAGGCTCTTTCTCCCGGGCAAGAAACACGATGGGAAGATGGGAGACAGTGGTTGAGTGGTGGCTTGCTGGGCGGCGCTTACAGGTTGGGTGGGGGTGGGGGACTTGCTGAAGGCTTATTCATTCGTCCAATAGGCAGAAAGCGATGATGTGCGATGTACAATCCCGTAGGTGCCGGTGTCGCAACATGAGAGGCACGTCGAAGAGAAGGCAGCAGACTCGGAGGGCATGTGGATGCTCAGTATTCTGGGCATGGCGGAGCCAGGCACGTGTGGGAGCAGACCAGGCTGCGATGGCACATGGCTGCCTGCAAACTTCTTCCGGCCGGTGCATACCGCGATCGGGATTCAAAAGTTGATTGCTAGCGAAGACGATGCCGTCATTGCGACGAATGATGAAGAAGTCGCGATGATGTGCTGCTGGTGATTACAGTTTTGGCGAGGCAGACTTTGTCGGTTCAGCCTCATGGAGGATTAGCCGGGAGGCAGACATGTGGGTGGAGCTACTTTTAGGCACGGGAGGCAGCGACGCTAGTCTCGTTTGGGCCTGCATCTGGTGCAACTGCCCCGCGCAAGATGGAAGATAGAGGTACAGCCCTGCCACGGCGGTGAGGCTGTGATGGTTTGGCGCACGATGAGGTAGTGTAGGTAGAGGTGAAAGAGGTAGAGGATGCTGCCCAGATGCGGCTGTTGCATATCGCAATATTGACCGATGCATGCCATGTAAGCGACAGAGGGTGGGCGTAGTCGACGAAGGATCAGCTACCCAACCGAATCAGATAGCTTTCGCGACAGCAGTGGATCCCGCACGTGCCCGACTGTGATTGCATCCTTCGAGCAAGCCATGCCCGTTGTGACGGACATAATCTGCAGCGTGAGGTGATCCTACTCGAATTATCCTGCCGTGTGATTCCTGCCTCTTCCTCCCGGCGACCTGTTTGCGGGGACGCCGACAGTCGAGTCTCCCTAAAGAGGCTGTTGTCGGGGTACGTCATTTCGGCGAGCGCGACACCAGCACCAGCTCTATCATGCCGATGATCTTGATCTGAGTGTGGCATCTCCATGTGTTCCGAAAGGGTAATCCATTCGCCGTAGATCTATCCAGATGGTAAGTACCGGCGGGCTGACTTCGGTGTTTCCACAACCTCAGGAAGGGGAGAACCAGTCCAGCCCGAACAATCGCCTGAATCGCGCCATCAGCGGGTCGCGGCAAAGTGCTCTCGACCTCCATCCATGAATGTCTCACTCATTGTGACCCACCCGCGATGCTCCACGCGATGCAGCCTCCCTGGACCTTGCTGCTTGGACAACAAACGCATGGTTGTGACGAAGCTAAGTCGGCTGCCCAGCACGTGCCTCTCATTTCTCAACATCCCGCACTAATCCCATCGCGCTTTGAACCTTTCCGGGCGGGCCAACGGTGATCACTGGCGCGCTCGTACGTTACAGAGCGCTGGATTGGTTGTGTCTCAGCGCACAGGTCTTTGTCGGACGAAATCGAGTGTCTAGCCCTACGGCCATTGAACTATCAAGCTTGTATGTAGGCCGTCGCCTGTCAACAAACACCAGCGCCGCGGAGAGGGGCCACATCTGCAAGCTGCAAGTCAAGTAAAGTCATCTCGCTTGATCTTCTCTACACCCTAGACGCGCTCATCAGCCGACGCGACCCAAGCTGCAAGAGCTCGACGGCATCCAACGCAGACACGTGCCGAAGCGAGCAACGGCCCTGGAGGCCGCTGGATTGAGCTCCCTATTCATCAAGATTACCGGCTATACTGCGTCTTACGCCCCCATTGAGCAGATAATGTCATTGTCCTCACACATTCGGCAAAGCTCTCACCGCTTCAGTTTCACATCGCTCTACATGCTCAAGGGACGAAGGTATAGCATGCGGGACGTTGCGGTTCATTTCCCACCATGCTAAGCTGAAGTGGTGCTATTAGGCGATCTCTGCCGGGTGGCAGCCTCGCGAAAAGATCGTGGTGCCAGACCCGACCCGCGCACCCAACGCTTGAGCCAAAACAGCAAATGCCATGGTACAGCTCGAACTAACGAACAAGGTTGTCGTTCATGGAGTCGCGAGAGCCGCCGATGGAGCATTGCATAGTCCATGGGCCGCGAGAGCACGTCGATTGCACCTGAAATACGCGCCGGCTACGAACTAACAGCTCTGGTCACCTCACCCTACTCCACGGGTCACGATTCGTCTGCCCTGGTCCAGCTTACTAGGATCCCTGCCTCTAACCATCGTCTCGGTTGCGGAGGAGCTGAGTCCTCATGAAACAGACAGCGGTCCTGGCCCGACAATCAGGCTCGCCAGCGCCCAAACGCGCAAGAAGCTGCTTGTCCCATGTGCAAGGCGACCGCCATCGTCAATCTGAAGGCGGCTCCGCCGGCTGGGGCTGTCTGCATGGGGTTCTAAGCTGCAATCCTCAGATGTGCAAATGCAGGAGCTTGAGCCCTGAAAACCGGTGAAGGCTGTGACGTGCGTGATGCAGTCGTCCTGTGTGCCGAGCAAAGCGCGTCGATGCTCATCAAATCCCCAGCGGTCCCCATGC